CATACAGCAATACAAGGGATGAATGTTCACGTTGTATTAATCATCCTTAGAGACTCTTCATTTTAAACTTCCCTTCTTCCAGCATAAATCCAAATCAGCAAATTACCTCATATACTTGGAATAAGTACACTAAAAGCATTTATTCTAAATATACAGTGCTTTCGCAAGTAAGACGAACATGTAACAAACACAAACCTGCTGTATCAACTTCAGAGAAACTCAGAGATGCTCCAACATGACACCTGCTCTGGGCAGCAGCTCTGGTCCCCTGGAAACTGTGTGCATTTTTGAGACTTTTAAAAACAAGGACATGAGTACTCTGTAAAGTTTGCTTAGATGCATGTCCCCAGCTCCTGACTTTAAAAGGAAGTCAATTCTGCTTTGCTAGTAAGGGCCTGCAAACTTATGCTCTCATAATCCACAAACATATGAACAACATGGCACAAATTTGCAACTAAAATCCACTAAATATTACGTTTAATGTAGTAAGAAATTGTGTTTCTGCTAAGCTTTCATTTCAAATGCTCAATACCACGTGCCCACAAGCATTTCCTCCAACGCAGGGCTTTCAGTTCTTACACAAACACAAGGCTGTCCCACAGTCCACACTCACAGGGAGGTAACAATTCCAATAGCAAAACCCTAAAGTCAAGCATCCAAAAACAGTTGCAGTTGGGTGAGGGGGCGAGATTCAGCCTCAATCTATGCTATCAAGAAATGCAATCTGAACTGCAGGAATGGTTAGCTGACAAAGGGACAGAGACTTCCTGAGAGGAAGGATGTGGAGCTGGGAAAGAATCCTGTCCAGATGCTCATCAAACTTCTCCCCCATTTCCCATGAGCTACATGTAGAGGCATCTGTCCTGTTGGATATTCCCAAAATACAGGGCAGATTAATGCCATGCTCCTCTTCCCCTAAAAAAATTAAACTAGTGTTTGTTTTTTCCTACAACTTTACGCTTTCACTTTCTTTTCCCCAGATGTCATATTCTATCAACTTTATTCATCAAAGCAGAACTCCCATCAATGCAGTTTCACCAAGCTGCCAGTATAAGATGTTCTGGATCATTTATTAACAGTCCTTCCATCTAGGGAACCCGAGAGACAACAACTAGTGTTCATCCCTGTGTCATGCTCCTACAGCTGCCCAACTGCCCATCCTACAGAGGTCAGTGGGACAGCTACAGCAACGCAAGCTCATGGGGGAAAAGACTCAGAGGGATTCTGCACTGTGATCCACCAGGATGGACAACTGCCTCTGTCTGCCGAACGTGGTCTTAAAAGAGAATATCAAAGAATTCTTTCACACAGAAATTTTATTCAAAACAAAACTACTAACTGAGGTAATTTTAGTGCTTAAACAACTACTTTTTTGGTTTTCTTTGACAAGGGCCATCTAAACAACAAAAACTCTTTAGAGCGTGGAATAGAAATGGAGAATTACACTATCTCAGCCTCCCCTGTAGCCTTACTACCTCGGGACAGAGTAAGAAATCATCATTAATTCCCAGAAATTCCCTGGCATCCGGAACAGCCCCATGAGAACGGTGGCAGTCACTGCAAGGGAGCAGAAGCCAGGAGGAACCTCCCTCCAAGGTTTCTCTTCTAAAGGCCACAACACCCCACAGAACGGGGCCTCTGCTCTGCACCAACAGTCACGACTGACCATCCCTGTGCTGCTGCCACAGGCACAGTCTGGAGACACACAGTGACCAGCTGTCTACAGAGGAACTTCAGATTCCTCTCAGCCTTAGCTACAGCATGATAAGGGGCAGGCAGCCTCTTAAGAACACAGAAAGCACAGAATATCTTATTCCCCTTATAAATACTCACACCTAAACGTGACCAAGCTAGAAAATTCAATATTCAGAATTCAAATACATGTGATTCAGTACACCTTGAACTCCCGAGTACCAAACAAGCACCAATGAAGTGCTACATTCTGCAGGAAGTCTAACCACTTCCACTGCTGGATGTAAGAGAATTGCTCAGTTCACAGACGGATCAAGTCTGGGATTCTTCCAGTCTCAAAGTAAGAGATTACTGGAAATAACATAAAATAGTCACAACAAAAACCAACACAAATACGTGGGATCCAATATTGCTGTAAGAGGTAAAATAATTCATGGACAAGTTTTAAAATAGTATGTGCTTAGTAATACAATTATCAGAACACCTGGATCTCCTCTAACTTCTTTAATTGGAGGAATTAAAAGTACTTCCAAATAATTAAACTCAATTAGGCCATCCAAATTGTTTGTATGATTGCTGAAAACCTCCAAATTGCAGCTTCTTATAGAAATGGTTTCATGTGGATTTGTTTTCATTTGACTGTAGATATTTCATTCTGAAAATTTTCTGTTGACTGACCAGAGAAATCACAGCCAACACTACTGCTTTCTTTTTCAGAATCAAGAAACATCTAAGAATTCCTGTCTTCCTGTCCTACCCTTTGTGGGCTTTTCAAGCAAAAAGCATTATCCCATGATGTAAGGTTCTCAATGTTAATTAACGCAAATATCAGAGTCAGATTTGATTTAAACTAACATGAAGAGAAATAGAATTCATTATTATTATTTGGAGGAAACAGCTGATATTTTCAAAAACAGTTCTCATAATTCCGACTTAGTCATTCAGACATATGATGCTTTGTGAAACTTTCAACTAGTTCACGGGAACTGAAGTTACAGTCACAGGAACTGGTAATGAGTTACAAAATTAATGAATTTTTATTGCTAAATTAAGACTTACCAGCTTTTCTCATCAGCCTGCCCTAAAAAAGGAGGACGCTGGTGAAACTGGAAGGACAAAAGAACCATTGTTCGAAAAATACAGCCATTTTTACTATGACAGAAGCAACAATACACTTGAAGCTATCACAGCACTTTAACCAACACAGTAAATTCAGCACACACCTTACAACAGAGAGAAAAGCACTAAAGGAGCATTAAGTAAGGTTAGAAAATATCAGAATTAAATTGGTCCTTGCCAACAACATGCACGTACAGTGAAGTTTTCCCTGTCAAAGCTACATACATACAAGTTCTTCTGGGCCCAGGAACTACTGCCTCAAGCACAAGCCAAAAAGCCTTCCAATTCCTGAAATTCAGTGGCACTTTGGAAAGCACCCCCCTCTCAGATGAGGCAAGCAGCTCAGAGGACACAAAAATACAGGTGTATGGAATTAAGGGCTACACTGTAAACCACACAACAAAAGTTAAACCTGACTCTGCAGGAACCTTCAGCACTTTATACCTGATTTTCCAGTGTGTACAGGCAAAGTTGCCCATAAATAACTTTGGGCATTTCTTCCCACTCTGCATCCTAGAACTCACAAACCAAAGCCTGAGGTGCTGCATCCCTCTGTCAGGGACTGAACAGGGCAGAAACATGGATGGGAAAGGTGGGGTGTGCTGGACCACAGCTACGAGCAGCAAGACACCCCTGAAGTAAACACACTAAGCACATTTATGACAGAGATCACAAAGACATTACATGGTTCAAGACACAGACAAGAACATTGGGGCTTTTGGCAAATATCCACAAACCAGACTGCACAAACTACATATAGATATCAAATTTTCACACATTTGTATCTCAATCAACTCAAAGTGTGTTTCAGAGCAGAAGACAACACAAAGCAATCCCATGTCCACACAGTTATGTACATGCTTCAACTTTCTCATTTCCCTCCTACTTGTGAAAAAACCCCAAGCTTGTACATCTGTATTAAACAATCTTAAATTCTATTTGAAGCCAAACAAGATTATGATGCTTACAGGAATAACAAAAATCATATGAACATACAGAAACTTTGTCCTGACACACACCCAGTGACAACATTCCAAGTAGTTCCATAACCTTCCAAAATTCCATAAGTTACACAGTTAATACCAATAACTGTCATTCACATCCCTCAAGCCCCCCGTATCTCTGACTTTTTGCATTTCGATGCCACCACATCACTACTGACCTAAATCTCCATCTCACATCTTTCACAAAACTGAACACTGATGCACACAAAGGAAAATCAGCGTTAGACCTGTTAAGATGAAGGAACAATTCCTCTCAATTCACTTTAACCTTATCACTAGGAATTTGGCTGTCAGCCAGCCAGAGTCCACACTACTCGTTATCCTGCAATACCAACCAGCACCTCGGAGCACAGCCAGCCTCAGGAATCACACACCGGGCCGAGACGCGAAACGCCCAAGCAAGGGTCGAGCTTTCCCCGGGCCAGGGGTGACGCTCGGGAAGAGCTCCAACAGCTTCCGCTCCGCTCCCTCCCGCGGGGTCGGGCAGCGCCGAGGCCGCGGCGGCTCCAGCCGAGCCCAGCCCTGGCTCCGCCTGAGCCGCGCTGAGGACCGCGCCCCGCCTCGCCACTCCAAGGGTGGAGGCAAATAAGAGCTGCGCAATGAAGCGCTGAGTGCTCAGCGGCTGCACAGCCCGGGCACCCGGCGGCGGGGAGAGCCCGGGGGGCGCTGCGGCCGCGCCCTAGGGCAAACCCGCGGCCTGGGGGCCCCGGCGGTGACCTACGGCCCAGCCTGGCCCGGCCCGGCCCGGCCCGGCACTCACCTGCGGCCCGACCCCGCGCTCACCTACGGCCCGGCCCGACCCCGCGCTCACCTGCGGCGCGGCGCGGCCCGGCCCGGCCCGGCACTCACCTGCGGCCCGGCCCCGCGGCCCGGCCCCGCCTAGGCCCACGCCATGGCGCGTTCCGTGCGCTCGGCGCCCGCGCCGGAAGTTCCGCCTGACGGCGCGCGGCCGCAGGCACCGCTCCGAGGCAGTCCATTGGCCTCTCGGGCTGTCACTCAGCCAAGGAGGGGCGGGGCGTGGCCCCACATTGGACCCGCCCGCGAGGGGAGGGCGGTGCCGCTCCCGCCCCGCCGCCAGGGGGCGCGCGGCGCCGGGCGGGGCCACAGTGGTGCCTCAGGACGGCCCGGCCCGGCCCGGCCCGGCCCGGCCCCGGGGATGGAGCCGTGCCGGGAGGGAGCCGTGCCGGGAGGGAGCCGTGCCGCCACAGAACTCCCGCAGCCTGCGGTAGGAGACAGTGCGGGGCTGGAATTTCACCGGCACGTGTGCGTGCAGTTCCTACGGCTGGGGGAGGTCTTGTCCTAAACAGCAACGCCAAACTCTGCCAAGAAAGGAGACAGAATTAATCTGAGCGTAAGGACCCCCACCGGCCTCTCGGGAGCTTGTACCTATTTCCCAGCCATAACATTGCAAACACTTCCTGTAGATATATCTATGGCAATTTATAAGCTTATAAATTGAAAAACTTATGCTGGAACACGTCTATTGGCAGGCACAGCATTTCACCTGGGAGTGCGGGACGGCCGCACAGTGCCCGTGACTGTCGGCCGCGTGGAAAAGCACAGCATTGTCTGAGGAAAAGCCATTGTCTCCATCTGGTAACAAAATGCAGTAACGTGTTTCTCCACCCGCTATTCTGTTGTAAAACGAACCCTTCAAAAGTTGACCAGCCTTTCTGTTTAATAAAATGAACTATTTCTTAAAGGAAAGAAGAGTTACGAGAAGATGTTATGCATCATTTTAGTAACTTACCACCCTGTTTTTGTTTTTTCTTTTTTTAACACGGTAGGAACACGCATTTTGCTGTGGTTTCAGCACACTGGAGCAGCAGCACCAGCGTTTGGGCGGCACAGCGCAGCGAGATCCCTTCGTTACCGGGGCTGTAAATGGAAATGGGCTTGAACCGCAGATCTACAGATAGCAGAATTATCAGGAAGCGCAGGAAACACAGAATTATAATTTTATTCTGTTGCAGCAACACGTAGTTGGAAGGGGACCCGTCACCCCGACCCCCCCCAGCGCAGCCCGTGCGCGCTGTCCGGGGGCACCCCCGGCCGCTCCCGGGACACCCCCGGCCGATCCCGGGACAGCCCCTCCTGCGGGGCGGGAGCGGCCGCGCCCCCGGCCCGGCCCCGCGCAGGCGCCCCGGAGCCCCGCCCGTGCCCGGCGGTGGCGGATGCCGCGATGCTGCTGGTGCTGTCGGCGGAGCACCGGGCGCACCTGGGCTGCTTGCCGCGGGCGGGCGGCGCAGGTCGGGGCCGCGAGGGGCCCGCGGGCGGTGGGGGCCGGGCCGGGGCTGCAGCGCGTCCTGCAGCGGGGTCTCTTCTCTCTCGTTACAGCCGTGGGCGAGCTGGGCCGCCTGGCGCTGGAGCAGCTGCGGCGGGGAGCGGCACCGCGGGCCTGCGAGGCCGCCGCCAGTGAGAGCCGGGCCGGGCCCGGGGGGTTCGCGGGGCCGTGGGGAGCGGGCGGATCGGACCGTGGGGAGGGCGGGACCGGGGCGCGGCCGTAGCGGTTCCGCGGCAGGACAGCGAGGGACGCGGCGGGCTCTGCGCCGAAGGACCCCCGAGCCCCCGCTGCACGGCGGTGCGGGGCCGAGGGAACGGGCTGCGCTCCCTGCCGATTGTGGGGGGCTGCGGGGCCCTCCTTACCGACACAAACCCTTCTCTGTACCATGCCGTAAGAAACTGGTTTGGGTTTTTCTTAGTTTTTTTGTTTTGATGGTTTGGTTTTAGGGGGTCTCTATCATGTACATTATTATTTGAAAGGCGTGAAACGCTTTTTTTTTCTTTTCTATACATATTTTGCAAGTTAGTGTTGGATAAGTTTGCAGTTTTGAGTCTCATTGCTGTAGTAGTTAACAAGGAAGTAAAAGGCACTTTGTGCTTTCTTTAAAGGAAAGCTGGACATTGGCGTTGACACCATTCAGCATGGAGTAGAGGGACTAACCTATCTTCTTACTGAGAGCTCCAAGCTTATGGTAAGGATACCTTTGTGTAAGTATTTCAGGAATGCACTCAGGAGATGTCTTCTGAACACTTAGACCTCTGAAAATACTGGTGAATGGGAAAAATGTAGCTCAAAATTTTGATGACATGTATTATTTTAATTTCAGAGACAGGTGTCTCAGACTGTTGTCTTATTGAAACACTGCTTTTTTGTGGATGACTGGAATTTGTATTCAGTATCTGAAGCTAAAACTTGACAACATTTTAATAGCGTAATTTACTCCATATAGAGAAGCATCCTTCAGGATTGAGCTCTAAATAATAAAACTCAAGCCAAGATTTTGTTGTCCAGCTACTGTACAGGACATGGGCTGGACTAACCCCCTATTCATCATTCCTTGTCTTTGTCTCATGTGGTGGGTTTGAGAGCTTTTTCAGCTCCTGCTATCAAAGTTTTGGGTGGTGTAAGCAGATACTAAAAGAATAATAGCTGGATAGTGGCTGTTTCCGTTGTAACTTGATATAGTAGAATATTTGAACAATGACTACATGGAGAAGGGATACAGAGACAAGCAATGCCAGATTAAACTCAGGCAAGTGTTGCTCCCAAGAGCAGGTGGGGAGGGGGTAGAAATGTTGCAGAGCCTTTCCTTAAAGCAAGGGGACTTGACTGACAGGTTACAGGGTATTGTGGTAGAATTGACTGGTCACAGACTGTGTTTGCAGGATGGTGCATTGGAGAGGTACAATGACATTTTCCATGGAGTCAATAACTGCTGCCCCAGTGCTGGGCCAGGCTGCTGCAGTCAGCACAAGGACTGTGACCTGGGGCAGGAGCTTGAGCATTGTGCCTGGTGCTGCTCACACCACATCACTGCCCGTTGTTTGTAGTCTGGGTATCAGTGGCACAGGAACACCCCTGATAAATGGATTCCTGCAGTGTGTCCTGCCTCGTGACACAGCTTGGGCGCTCCCCCGCGCTGTGTTTTGCTCTCTGATACAAAGGCTTTACATGTGAGGGGGTTGAATGTTCTTCTTTCAAAAAATGATCTACAACTGTCCTGAAACTCATGCAAATCTGCAGTAATATGTCAACATCTGTAAATCCCTTAAAACCTGGATATTTGTTTTGTCCGAGGTGTAGAATTGTACTTGGACATTCCTACAGGAAAATAACTGCACATCATGCGTGATGCTTAGTTACAGTTTTATTTGGTTTTCGACAAATAATGATGATTACACAGTTCCATATTAAGGCCTAAATTGTTATTTCTAGATTTCTGAGATTGACTTTCAAGATTCCATTCATGTTCTGGGATTCTCAGATGAATTGAACAAATCCTTGCTCCAGCTGTACCTTGACAACAGGAAGGAGATCAGGAGCATTCTTGGAGAGCTGGCACCAAGGCTGCCCAGCTACCACAATCTGGAGTGGAGACTGGATGTGCAGGTGACTTCCCCGATGCTTTTAGTATTCCATATTTTACTTCATGTTTTTTTAACATCATAAAAAACTTATAAACAGTGTAAAAGTAATTGAGGTAGCAGTACTTCACGTATTTAAAACTGACATGACTTTGTTAATGCCTCACAGCCAGCCAGTTGTAAGATGAACAGGATATGCAATGATGCAAAGTACTTGTTGTCTGATGAAAACTGAATTTGTGGCTTCGTTGGTGTTTTAAAAGTGTTAGCATATACTAAATATATTTGGTCTTAATTATCACCTAATTTTCAGAAATATTATGAAAGCATTGATTAAAGTGGATTAGTATTCTGTAATGATGAAACTCAGTAATAGCTTGTGTGTATCTTTAATGTGGATAAAAAGGGTTTCTGAACAGTCCTCCAAGCAGATCCTGCAAACCTGGTGGGAATTGTAGGTACAAACATCAATAACCATTGTTTGTTTCCCTATTCCCATCTCACCAAACCGCTCCTGAAGCTTGCAAGCAGAAGTTTGAGACAACAGATCAAGCCTGCTGTGACCATGAAGCTATATCTTAACCAGAATGAAGATCAAACTGCCCAGGTGTTGCAAACTGACCCTGCTACCCTTCTCCACCTGATCCAGCAACTGGAGCAGGCACTGGGGGAGATGAAGACGAACCACTGCAGGAGAATAGTGCGCAACATGAAATAGCCTCAATTCCTGCCTGCTCTCCTACTGAGCAGTTTGTGAAACAGCTCAAAACAATGCTCACAAATACACTTTGAGGAAAAATAAACATCTGGATCAGATGAACTGCTTTCCTGTGCCAGGATCTTGAGCCAGTAATTACAGGCCAAATGTCCTCGGCTGCCAGCTTTGCAAATCTGACGGATACAAGATGGGTAATTGGGTTTGCATTACTTGCAAATGGAGGCATTCAGCATACTATGCTGAGAATTCCTTTAGCTCTAAATTAGTATGGATCTGCTCGAGCTTTCCTACCTTTGGTAGAACTGTCTCAATATTATTTGAAGCTGCATATTTACTGTTACATTTATAAAGTAATTTTTTCTCTTTTGCTTCTCTCTTAAAATATTTTTTAAACCCTTATACTGGTGAGAATGATACTTTGCAGGAAGACTTCTCCCATGTAGACTCAGGTATGTGTAAAAGCCGATGTGGTACTGCCCTTTTCCTCCAGAGGACTGGGTCAGTGGGGGCTGGTGTGACACTGCTGCTCTGCCCTTCTCACCTATAACCGAGCTAACACTCCTGTTAGCAGAGCCTGCTGTGACCCCACAGGACAGCTGAGGCTTTCTGCAGCCAGCCCAGTGGCCTGCACTGGGTTGGCAAACTGGTTATATGTGAAGGTGGTCTGAAAACTTGCAAAAGCAGAGCTGTGGGTGAGGAGGCAGGTTAAGAATAGTGTTAACCTTTGCTAACTCTGGTCTCTGTGCCCCGATGCCGTGGTTTGTGTTCCACTGTTCGGATAGTGCTCATAAAGGCAAGACCAGCTATTGCAACCAAAATTATGCTTTTCCATTGTTAAGAAAAATGTCTAATAAAGATGATGTCAAATGTCACTTTTCAGTTGTATTCTAATGCAGTATTTTGCAGCTTTTGTGAGTAAGATTAAATGGTTTTAGTAATTCATGCTTTAGTGTCACTGCTGAGGGTGCATCATAAAGGCCTTAAAGTATATAGGACAGGACAAGAAGGCGAGAGAGAACCATAACATACAGATTCTGGCAATAACTATTCACCGTCTTTCATGGCAACACCATAAACTTCTGTATTAATTGTGGTTTTACATTCAAAACTGCATTCTTTCTGTTTTGAATTTTTGTACTTCTGTACTACTATTTCAAATTAAACCTGCATGACTGAAGTGCTTTAAAAAAAGTTTTCTGGAACGTGGAGTTGCCTGTTCCGCAGCTGCTGTGCAGTGTGGTGATGGTGTGAACAAACTGAATTGCCTTTCTCTGTGAATCAGCAACGTGTTTCTTTTATCATCCCTGTGTGGTGACCTTTTTCATAGAATCATTTTCATATATAGTACATGGTAATTAAATGTTACTACTTGGGATTTTTGTTTCGTATTTTTTATGTAATTTGCCTCTGTTTTCAGTGAGACACAAGAACAGCCAAAAAAGTAGGTGAGTGGTTTCCCTCATTCCATCTTTTCTCACTACATCCATAGCCTGTAACTCAGGGCAGCAAGACAGGAATTTTAGATACAAATCCTTGAAGCTTTTTGTGTCATTGCCTGATGAACTTGAATATATTCACATTTTTGTCTCTTAAAGTTTTTTAAAACCCCAGCTGCTCTAGAGCTGATTGGCATCATGGTAAGTGCTGGCAACCTACATGTGTCACATCCTGAAGCATGTGCTAGCTATAGAGGGAGAGGGTTTCCCTTGGGGATCCTGAGTAAAATGGACAGTTGAAGGCAGATGTTGAGAATGGAAAATGAAACACCTGTTTCCCTTTACAAAAAATTACCTCAGTTGAGGATGGTCAAAGTTAAACTTTGAATCTGGGTGAAACTGAGAGAAACTCAAACTCTGACAGTGATCCACGAACAGACAAGAGAGAGGGAGGGAGAAAGATCCTTTACACCAAGTGTGTTGCTTTTGAATTTTTACCTTTCAGTTTGTTCTGGGGGAAGAACTGAGCCTGGAAAAGCAGCTGCTTGGCAGCAGGATTTGGGCTTCATTATTGGAAAGGCAGATTTGCCTTTAGGTGAGGTTGGAACTGGTCTAACTACACCTCTGCAAGTTCCTTTCCTTGTTTTCACAGCACCCGTGACAGCTGCCCAGGGCTTGGCACCTGAAGTGCCAAGTGTGACCACGCAGTGCTGCCTGCACCTCGGAGGGCAGGTGAGGCTGGGCAGGGAAAAGGCATCTGCATCAGTAACCCAGGGATACTGGTAAAATAAGAATTCACCTTTGCATCTGGTTTTTTAGATTTTTCAATCTGGATTTTTTCAGTTTTCTTGTAAACTCCCAAGTGAAAGGTGGCATATAAAGCTATATTTAATATATCTTCTCTAATGAATTTGCACTTGCTTTATAGAAACAGGATATGGACACTACCAAATCTGATTATAATTAAACTACTAGCTTTGTTTCCTGGCAAAATCCACATCAGAAAACCCTCTCCATGTACATGCAGTTTATTGACACAGAAGAAAACTGTATCTTTCTGCAAGTTAAATTAGTTATGCTAAAAAAACATGTTTTGTGCTGGTGTGATTCTCAGCACTGCCCTGTGCTGCCCTCCTGCCTTGAGACAGCAGAGCTGAGCTGCTTTTGCTCTGCAGCCACTCCCTGTTTCAGCCCTCTTGGCCAGGTCCTTGTTCTGGGCTGTTGGCAGTGTGCACACAGGGACTCAGGCTGACAGCTACTCCAGAACAACTCAGGCCAATAAGATCACACTGTATTATAATAATTTCTGTATTTCTTTTTGTAATTCTGGACTTCAACTCTGAAGCAGCAGATCAGGTCCCACTTTATCTTACATGACTGTGTTGGGACTTACTAATCCCACTGAATTTGGCCAAAAATCATCTTCCAAATCTGCCTTGAGTAACTGAAAGTCTGAAAAACTGGCGGGTTTTTTGTCCTTTAAACATTGCCACCATTTCCACAAACGAGAATTCATTTCCTAATTCATTTATGTGTGAAGTCAGCTACATTAGCAAACCTCATTGTCAGCAGCACTTAGAGATGCCTGAGGCAAACCAGTGATGGCCTGTCTCTGTATCTGTTCCCCTGTCTCTTGGGAGAGGGCACACTGAGTTCAGTCAAGAGGCTGAAACAGGCAGCTGGAGCACGGGGACTTCTGCCGTGGCTTCAGCTGTTTGCAAACTCCACAGTGCAGCTTTCCCGGGATCCCCACTGCAGACCCTGTCACCTGCCTTTGCTGTGGAGGAGCAGTGTCTGCATGTCCCATTCTGCTGGCTCTGCTCTAAGGCACAGTCCTGAGACTCAAACACTGCTGCAATGCTTTGGTTAGAGCAGCTGTTTCCAAAATGAATGTCTGAGCAGTCAGCTACAGAGATGTCCACACAGCTTGCTTGCCAGTAAAATTACATCAACTTATAAAACAACATGAACTGAGCTGACAGAATGGGGTTTTTTGCTAGCAGCCTGCCCACACCAGAGGTTTTGCTGTCTGAGGAGGTATATACTTACACAGCTGCTTTGAGGAAACTCCTAACAGACACCAGGTTTTTGTATTAAATAAACCACAGCACAGTTGCCTACATAGGACATGCTCTGCGTGCATCCTGAGATGCCAGCCAAAGTCTTGAAGCTGTCAGTCACCTGAGGAACAAACAGCTGGGAAATGCACACAGACAAAAAGAAGCATTGACCCCTTTGTTAACAAACACACTATATTTACTGAAGTACACTTTTGCAGAAGCCTCTTGAAAATTAGATTAATACAGAACTACTAGCAAGAGCAGAATACACAAAAAAGATTATCAAACGATACCCTGTTGCCATAAGAACAAATAAAAATTATTTGCATGACAAATTGTATGTTTTTAGTGTAAGTAGGTGTGTGCTGCACATATATACCTTTTTATAGCCAAACTCCATGAAACGTGTTTACTGTTCCATTGTGTTCCTTCATTATTTAGTTTGAAGGAACACAAGTCTTCTGTACCTATATGGCTTTTCAACTGACACACACGGAGCACCCAGCAGTGGTTACTGCCCACCCAGAGTCTCCTTGCACAGAACAAACTCAAAGCAGGGGCAGAGCCCAGGCTGTGCTGTGTCCCTGTGCCTAGGTTACCCAAAAGCACAAGGCTTGCCCAGGGACCCTGAATGTTTTCTTTTCTAACAGATATCACACATGCAGCTTCACCTATGTGGGCTTTCTCAGAAAAATTAATTTATGTAGGGCTTTGACACAGAGCAGCAATGGATCTGGATTAAAAATTACAACATGTGGTATTGTTTCTTTTAACTCATTAGATGCTCATCATCTAAGGGTCCATTTAAAAGTGCACTTATTTCTTCTGAGCTATTTGCTTGGGTTTCCACTGAAGTATACACTGAACTTGCTCCTAGAAAATCCACAACAAGTAGGGTATACTCAAAGTTCTGGACTTCAGTAAATCCTTCAGTTGAACAAAAAAACTCCGTACTACTCAAAAACATTTGAACAGCATATTAAATTGAGAAAAATAATGTTCTTGTCTTACTTTTTTACAACATAGGATCTTGTAACAAGAATAAAAAAGTAATGATAAGGAGCCTTCTATGTCACATTAGTGGTTTGGTTCCTATATCACTTAATACAATCCCATTGTGATGGAAGTGTCCTTGTCTTCTATGGATTTGAACATATTGAATCATTTGTTCTAAAAGCTGGTGGTCATATCCTATTTCTGTGTCCAAAGAAGGAAGTTAGTATTTCTAAATAATAATAACAACAATATGAGAATGTATTCTTACAGTTCTAATCACTTTCAGATTTGTGGAGAAAAATGCTTTAGCCTACACCAAGTGGTACAATAGCAGATAATTGTGTTATTCAGTAAAAACTGCAGCTGAAATACATCTCACTGAAGACAGTTCTAGCTGTAATAAATGCTGCTTAGGTTTAGAACAAATGTGCATGTCCTCACAGGATGCCACACTCTCTTATGAAGGTGGTCTAATTAACACAGACGACATGGCCTCATAATGAGACTGTCAGAGCCTTCCCTTGAACGGGCTTGTCACCCGGAGAGGACTGGAACAGGTAGAGGGGTGTGGGGTGTCTTTACTCAAGGATACAGAGGCCTGGAGGAAGCAAAAAAGCCCTTTTAAAGGCTGTATGAAAAATCACTCACGTTCAGATCATTATCTGTGCAATAACCACGTGCACACACAATCTCATATCCAAAGGTTTTAAATCAGGAAACTGCAGGAAAGAGAAAAAAGGTATGTAATGTCTGCCTAACCCTGGAGAGTGGGTGCTGTGATGAGCACAGCTCTCTGAGCTTGTTGCAGCAAGGAACACAATAAGGAAGCAGCAGGAGAATGGTACAAAAGATAACATGGAAAATTCTTCGGGAAGGGAAGCATAAATAAGTCTCAGGAGTACTGGGTTTCCTGATCAGAAACACAGCATATATGGGGGAAAATAACAAAAAAAGAACACAAAACAAAGAGCAGCAAAGGAAACCCCAAGGAGGAGATCTGCTGAGCCAATGGAAACATGGACAGGAAATGTGAGGAAAAGTAAACGAAAGGGAATATTTGTTGAAGCAAGGCAATCAGGAAGTGCACAGGATCTGTTCCACAGAGCTAGCTGATCCTGATTCAAGTTCGTGTACAGGCTTAAACCACCGCTCTCAGAATCTGCATTACCAGTATTACACGTAACGCTGATTAAGAGACAAATGTGGTTAGGTCAAGCTCAAGTCCTCTGCTGGAGAAGCCAAAAGCAGTTCAGAAAAGTTCATGATTCTTTTTAAGAAATAAGTATGTTCAGAAAAAAAATTACCTCAGACTTTTCTAGTGTAGATTCTGATTTGTGAGGAGGATGTATTCTTATCGATCAGCATAGCCTGGAGTCTGTTCAAAATGCAGAAATAAAATGACAAAATGCATTACTTAAATTAATGTGTTTGTGTAGCCAACGTGTTATATCTCTATATGGGTAGTCACAAAAACACTGTATGCTTCCTTCTGTAAAAACGAACAGTGAAGTTGGAAAGTGAATAACATTGTTCTTTATTGACACAGCTACTGAATTTAAGCTGCTCATATCACCATTCAAAAGTTGTTCGAAGTGCACCAGAAAATTAGACAAGATTTTAAAAAAAATATATGTATTAATTGTAGAAAACCTCAGCAATGCATTTTGATGACAGCTCTGGTTTCTAGTGTAGACTAAACCAAGGACAAGTGACTGTGAACAGGCAATCAGCAGAGATCCACAAAGCATCACGTCTGCATTTGAAACAGCCCCTACGGAGAGGGAATTAGAAAATACATGATACAGCTTTGCACTGGACTCGTACCTGACAGCAAAGGGCCAAACCTTACCTAAACTACAGCGACGTGGTTACGGTCCATGTCA